GGCAGGTGGCGGTTGGCGGCGGCGGTCCGGCGGACGAGACAAAATTGCAACACTTAATAAAAGTTAGATATTTTTTTGCCAAATTAAAAAGGTTGAGTTTTATTTACAATTAAACAAAAGATAGTGATTTTTTATGTAATTAACCCAATATATAATTCATAAGTTCCAAAAGTTAATACTAATTGCCCATAAGACTTCGTTTACTAGGGTTGATGGAGATAAAATGAAATTGGACTAATAGTCCAATTAGTCAGCTTTTCACATGTTTACAAATATGGATGCAATTTCTTTTAATCTCATCCTATGTTTACTTAGTTTACAATTTACATATATGTTAAAAACCTGAAATGTCAAATTTACCCTCATCTCTTTCTATTAACCACTCCAAATCGGCACACATAATTTTAACTCAATTTTTTGAACTCTGTGGAGCCCTAGAAAGATGACGATGACACAACGTTCACCGGTGGAGGCCAGCAGGACGAAGACGGGCAGACGAGTAGGGCAAGAAGAAACGAGTTCGAGCAGATTCGATACCTTGTAGAGTTAATCCGTTCTTATGGAGTAGATTTTCAAGATCCGTTCGAGTCTAGATAGGTTAGAACACAGTCGATAAATAAATTAAAAAAAAAAGAACGAAGTACAGGATGGTGCAATTACGAGAGGAACTAGGGCAAGAAGAAAACTAGTTCGAGCAGAACTGGGTGATTTTCAGACAGATTTGTTACTTTTATAATTCCTATATCTGTAATTTTTGTGACATTGAGGGGTAGAAGAGACATTTTGCAACCTCTTTTTTGGACAAATTCGGAACATAGCAATTGGGATAAAAATATCCGCCCAAAATGCTCAGACAAATTTAACCACACACGTCAGTTTAATGCAGTAGGACCCACATGCCACACACTTCACACATCAGCTCTATCATAATCCCTAACCAACCTAGTAAATGAAGGTGGTTAACCAACCTTATCCAATAGTATGAACCATAGTAAATGTAAAAGTATATGATTTATATTAGACATGTCAAGACCAATAATTATAATTCACATTGCAAAAGTCAGATTTACATTCTTTTGACCAATAAATATTACTCCCTCCTATTTTTAATATCTGTCATCCTGACTTAATTGATCATTGATTAAATAAATGTCGTTTTGACTATTTTGTTCATATTTTTCCATTTTTAACCCTCTAACACAGTCTCTTCATATCTCATCTCCATTGTTTCCCATAACATCCAGTAAATAGGGTTAATATTGACAAGAAAAAAAATTCTTAAATAGCGTGTTACTTCTCAAACGAGAAATAATAAAAATAAGAGAGAGTATGATTTATCATGTCAAAACCAATGAGAAATTTACTCCCAATACTACAATAAATTTCATTTTGGTAGTTGAAAAGGGCCTAAGATAACTTATACATAACAACTGGAAATGCTTTATTGTTTGCACAATCACATAACCACTAAATATATATGTTTTTGTTTGCACAACACTTATAATACTTAAGAAAAATAACCAAGCATATAGTAAAAATAGCACATAATACACAATATTACTAAACACTTGTGTAAACAGTACAAGACCATCCGTCCAGTCGAGAATACAACAAACGGAGTACATTAGCATATAGTAAAACGAGCACAAATACCAAACATCAAATCCCTTAACACAAAACACTTCAAATTTTCGCATTCGGGAGGAATGTGCGATTGAGCATAGATGACACTAAGCCAAAATGTAAAATAGAAAACGTGAATGTAAAATTCACTTGCTGAACATGTCTCAACTCAAAGTTCGATAAATCCCATCAAGTTCATGCCTCATCCCACTCATCATTTTTGTATGATACCAAAGTGTCAACCTTGTGAATCTGCAAACACGAAAATTCTTCACATTAAATTACCGAACAAGGTCAATAAGATTTGCCTTTCAAGCAGAAATCCAGCAGCAGATCATTCACTTAAGTTGCTAATTAATAATTATCACCTTTGTATCAAACGAATGCAACTTCACCATTTGCGGATTAGCAATCAGCTTAGGATCACTCTCGATCCAAGTAAGCGGGACATCACAATCTTTGTCTGTGTATGCTAAGACGTCAAATACACCTAACAGTAAAAACCAGAAAACCATATGGCTCATACCCCTCATAAAAAGAAAAAAGAAAATTCCAAGTAGGTACTCTTTTAAGTTTTAATTCTTACAGTCAAATTAATTAATATGATTATTCTTACAGGGCTCATCAAGACATGGCAAATACGTGATACTCGAAGCTATCTGCCGCATGATGGCCTGAATTTCCCTCATGATTTCCTTGTCACTCTTTTCCCTTGAAACTCTGGGTC